CGTCGGGCTTAGCCTCTCGCTCGTGTAGCCTGGGCCACGCGCAACTCCTACAGTGCGGGCGCGGCCGCAGGAAACCCAGCCCTGAAAACCCGCGCGCGCGGTGCACCTCCAGGGGAAGCACGGAGCACCCTGAACGCAGCAGCTTCTTTGACGCCCGCCCTAAGTCACAGCGCAGCGCGCGGAGCGAAGACACCCAGGGTACACTGACGAAAAGCGCATGGTTTCTTGATGCGCGCCCCCACTGTATTTTCGGGCGCCACCTGGGAGGACGCGCTCGGATGCTCGGACAGTGATCCCCCATCTTGTGCAGGCTGGCCGTCTCCCTGGCGGTATCCTTCGCTGCACTCTTTGTGCCAAGCTTCGGCGGCTCGCCCGCCCACGGGACCCGTGCCTGAGCGGCGGGGAATTTCTGCTTAGCGTGTCGCGGCGGCGGCCCCTGTGACACGCTCAGGCTATTCAGAGAGAGGGCAAAATACCCATACCTCCACCCCTCGCCCGTTTTCCTCTTTTTGGGCCTCCTGGGAAGCTCTCGTCGCCACCGCGGGATTCGCCTCAAAATCCTAGTCAGAACGCCCCGGCAGAGATCCGGGGAGTAGCGGCATGGGTACCTTTGGGTGTCCCCAGCTACGCATTGCAAGCTGATTGCGTGTCGCTATGCCTCTCGGGGCTTGAGGCTGGGACGAACTCTAACGTTGGCGCTCAGGGACTGGGACGTGCTTAGCGTTATGTCGGGCATGTCTTCCTACAGGCAGATTTTGGACGAAAAATCCGTTGGCCCCCTTGTGGGGCCACCAGGCTGTAGGACGAGGGTTTGCTGTTCCCTGCGCCAGTTCCATTTTATATGATAGTTCTGCTTCTTCTTGTTGTAGTACTGTTCCTTGTAGACTGAGCGAGGGGGGGGAGCCGAACATCAGCCTGGTTAGCGTCTCATGGGAAGGGTTTCAGAATTCCTGGGAGGGACGTGGGACACAGAAAAATAATGAAATTCGCGCCCCCGAGGCCATAAACCTTCGTAAATGACGCAATATTTGCGTCCCCGAAGTAATACCCACCCACCCCCCGCAAAATACGCCATATTCGTGTCCCCGAAGCCATAAGCCTTCGTAAGTTACGCAAGCGTTGCATCCCCGAGGCCACAAACGCTGGTAAATCACGCGATAGTCGCGTCCCCGAAGCCATAAACCCTTGCACATGAAACAATACTCGCGTCTCCGAACCCGTAAGCCTGCGTAAATGATACAAGATTTGCGACCCCGAAGCCATAAACCTTGCAAATTACTTACTAATCGCGTGTCCGAAGCCATCGGCCTGCTTAAATTACACAATGTTCGCGTCTCCGAAACCATACACCTGCGGAAATTGTGCGAGATCTGCGACCCCGAAACCATAAACCTTTGTAAATGACGCGCTATTCGCGTATCCGAAGCCGTCAACCCTCCTAAATTACGCTGTGCTGGCGTCTCCGAAACCATCAACCCTTGTAAATTACGTTCGAATTACGCTGGATTCGCGTCCCCGAAGCCACATGTCCGAAATTCTTCGGGAAACCTCAATGCACAGCATAGGGAGGCAGGTTCAGAATGCAACGCTGAGTTCAACTCAGAATCTCAATTTCTCTTGACGATGCTGCTTCACGGCGGCGCCGAACCCTCATGGTTTCGCTCTTGCGTAGCCAATTATCCGAGAGAGGGGGCCGGCGGCAGGGGGCGAAGCCTTTACGGATAATACATAAGCAAGACATGGCCAAAAATATTCGGAAATAAATTGAAAGTCGTCCCCCGATTATGTTTGGACAATTTTGGAGTATTCCTCCTGTAGAGGGACATGCCCGACTTAAGATTAGCGTGTCGCGCCGAAGCGTGGTCGGCCAAAACCGGCGGCGCTGCACGCGAAGCGGACGTTCTGGCAGAAGCAGAGCGTGTGCCCACCAGGCGCAGCGCCCGCTTGTGGTCTTGGCTACCACTGGGCGAAGGGCAGCAGGTGGGGAGACGATCCTTGGGCGGATTCGTAAGCCCTGTGCCGAACACGTTTTAATCTCTTGGGGGCGCATGTTCCACTTCCGACACCTTCCGCCGCCCTTCCGCCGGCTTCCACCGGCGCAAGCGGCTTCGTTTTACTTCCGCCGACCTTCCACCGCGGAAGAGATGGCAACTCCTTCTGTTCGCGAAGGCAAGGCCCTTTTTTGACCGCCCCACTTGTGTCCCCGTCTCCTCCCGGGCTCTGCCCACCGTGAAGGCGTGGCAGTTGCTTGCGCACGGCGCATTCATTCGGTGCGTCCTTCGTTTGGCTCCTCGCTCTGGCCCGGCCCTCCGCGTCTGGCCCACAGCGCCGCTGCTCGCAGTGCTCGGCTGGGATCGACCTCGACGAACTCTTGGATGAAAGGCTAGCCTGACTCGAGGTGCCCGTGGGCACTGGGTACTTTGCGCACGTGGCCTCGAGGTACATGCGCGCACGGTGTAGCACCAAGCCAACCGGTCCCTACTGGAAGTCAGGATGACGGACGAGGTCCCTCGGTGGGAAGTTCAGCGATAACAAGGAACGTTCTCGCCGCGCTGGAGCTCGCAGTCATGCCGTTCGGCCTCTTGACTGCAAGCTCGCATCATCTGTTCATTGTGCGGCGAGAGGACGCTTTGCATTGTGCCTGCGAGACTTTTGTGGCTGCTTGCGAAGCAGGTCGACGTGATCCTGCTGTGGACCGCTGCCCTCATGTACCTTCTGAAAGGAAAGCCCGTGATGATCTGTTGAAGCTCTCAATCATGTTAATGCCCTTCCAGAACGCTGTACTCCCTCTATCGGTCGTCTGCAAATTCAGTGCCACCTCTGGCCCTGGCGAACAAGGAAGGGGCGCCACGTGAACATCACATATGCGGCGGCTGGGTGCGACGAACCACGTACTCCCTGCATTGATGGCGTCTTTAGCTTATCTTTGGAAGGGCTTTTACAAACACGACGCCTTTCCTCCAGTGATGTCGCCCCCTGACTTACTGATGGTGGTGGCTCCTGGCAAATTTAGCCACGTTGCGTTTCCTCCCCTGGTGCTCTTTCGGTTCGAGATTACAACAGCGTGCGTATTCATGTCTGCCCGTGCGGGAGGGAGGGCAGAAGTTCGCCCACAAGGGGGAGATGAGGACATCGATGTGCTTACGTATGACGAGAAAACCGCGTGGCAGCTGGATCCACACACGTTGGTATGCCGTTGTGTGTATGGAATGGCACAAGACACGCGTAGACGATAGATGATCATGTCCTCAGGACCACGGCCTGCAATACAGTACTGCGTATGGCCATTTTGGCCCCCCTCCCGTCAATTCACCACTCATCTTCCCAAAGGGTCCCCAGTGGGGGGAACAAGACATACTGGTCCTTGGGTCTGGACGCACATCCGACGTCTTATGGTATCACGGGTTGTTGCGCCCACCGGGGTAACGATTGCTTTTGCTGGTATCATATCGATCCTGCATCCAGTGGACACAAATCAGATGCACCAACAAGATACCTGGCCTCCCCCCCTCCCTCTCCCTCTCCCTTTCCTTTCGCCACGCACCAGCCCGTCAGGGCTCCCCGAAAGGCTCCCGATGCGGCGGGGCAATTCTTCAGCTCGCTCAGACTGCAAGGACGCGCATCATCAGTGCATCGCCCAGCCTGTCTGTGGAGCACTGTGGCAAAGCCCTGGCTGCAGCCAACACCCTCGCCCCTCCCCGTTGACCCGAGGACGGCGCATGCGCCGCCTTGCTAGGTGGCCCTGCCCGGCTGGCTTGTGGACGGAAATTTCCGATCCGGTCTCGGTGCTTTCTACGGTCCAGAACTTAGCCCAGCGTGTCGCGGCGGCGGCCCTGGCGACGCGTGGCTCCGCTCCGCGGGGCAGGAGACCGGGAAACGCTCTGGCTATTGACGCTTGGGGACCGGGGCATGGCTAGCGTATTGCGCCGAAGCGTAGTGGGCCAGAACTGGCGGCGCGACACGCCAAGCACGAGTCTGGACGGTACAGCCCAGCTCACGAAGCAAATCGACGATTGAGCTCCCCCCCTCCCCCTTCAACAATAGGGCACAGGGCTTGGCAAGGGGTGCACTTTACCAGCGATCTCTCGACGGGGGTCCACCTGCGGCGACGAAGAGCGTGCCCGAGGCCCCCAACAGTGGCCACAACAACTTGGAGTTCGATTCCCGATCCTCGCAATCCGAAGCTCGAACAACGAGCTTACTCGATCCTCGACCCGCTAGATGAGAACCTCGATCCCGACGTCTCGACCCTGGGGCGGAACGCCCAGGGGCGCCGCCAGAAGCGGCGCCGTGATGTTGAGACCGCCCAGAACTACATTGTGGGCCATGGCAAAGGAAGAGGAGGATTACGGGGGATTGCCGCTGCTAGGCCTGAGAGGACCGCCTCAGGGGTGCAATCAGCCTGAAACCTTGGCGCGCCCTCACCCCAGGCTTCTCCTGGGCGGTATTGGGAGGCCAAACATCAAAATGGCCTGTTCGTGATGGGGTGCCTGCCTTGCCGCATACGGTTGAAACAACCAGAGATCGTCTGGGGATGTCCCCCGGGGAATCTGGTCATGAGTCCAAACCACCGATCCGTGGCGTACCTAGCGCACGACCGACAGAACACCACTCTGGGGAGGCGCACCATCTGGTGCCCTCTGGCGCGGGCCCGTTCGATCCTGCCTCCGTCCCCATCCGGCCCCCCCAGGGGGGGGGGAGGGGGAGCAGGCGGCGGAAGTAGAGGTCCCGCAGGCTCCTGCGCTTCCCCGCTAGGCACGGGGGGAGGGGGCCTGTGACGGCTCGGAGCCTCTAAGGGAGGTTTCGAACCTTCGGAGGTGTCAACGAGCCCTTGCCCAAGCACTGCTACGCAGGCTGCGCACTCGAGCACATCTGAAACGAATTTAAAGCGCTGGATATATGCTGCTCTGTGCCACGGCGCATGTTGCTGCCGCTGGGCTCCGAGCTTGGCACATTCATGTGCGAACATATTCCAAATGAATCGATCGAGATGGGCCCATTTAGGCGCTCAGCAGTCTAGTGGCGTGCGCTTTCACTTCGCTGAAACCGATGCCCATAGTTCCTACCCCTTCATTATCCTCGATCTTGGCCCAGCACTCCCGCCACAAGTCGCTGTGGAGGGTGGCCGGGTGGTCGGCCCAGGCTGGGCCGCGCTCGAAGTCGTCCAAGATGGCCCGGCAGTCGGACCAGACGCGCGCGGGCGGGCACGCCACCTGGATAACGCACAAGATCGCAATGAGCTCGCTCTTGTAGATGCTCTGGTCCCACCGCGCGCCTGGGAGCGGCCCGTAGACCGCGAACTTCATTCATGTCCGGCCCTCCGTCAATTTTACGGAGGCCCAACCGCCGCGCCTCAGCGCCGCGTAGGAGCCGTAGAGGAGACACCCGTCTGTGCACACATCGCCTGCGACGAAGCCGTCGTAGCCGCCTTGAACGAAGGTCTCGCTGGACGACGGCAGCTGCCACAGCCCTGCCTCCTCGGCGGAGTCGCGCGCCAGGCCGCGGCCACAGAGCTGCTCTGACCCAGGCCACGGTCGCGCTCCGCGGTGGGCGATGTACCGGCCGCCGACGGCGCGGCGGTGCTCGTCCCTGGCGGTGCGCGCGAAGGTGCAGTGGCGGTCCGCCCCGCCATCCGCATGGCATGCTTTGCAGGTGGGGTCGGCCACGGCGCCCTTCTCGTGGAGCCTCGCCTGCGACCAGTTGCCTCCGCGCCAGCTCGGTGCACTGCTTCGCGCGGTAGCGGAGCTCTCGAAGCGCCACGAGGCGCAAATCGATGACTTCGGCGCCGATGGTGATCGAGTGCGCCGCTTGCGTCTGCCAGCCCAGCCGCCGCGCGGCGGCGATGATGGCGCCCGCGGGCCCGCGGACTATCTGCCAGGGGACCTCGGCGCGCGCCACCTTGAGCACCGACCGCTTCCAAGCGGCCTGCAAGTGCCCGATGAGGCGCGGCTGGTGCTCCGTCTCGTGCCAGGCCTGCGCCTGGGCCAGGATGGGCACCGCGTTGGTTTTTACGCCTGGGTCCGCGTCCTCCGCGAGGAGCACCAGGCGGGCGGAACGCCCTTTCGAGGTAACGCTGTAGGAGGCGGCGACAATCTGGCGCAGCTCCCCGATCTTGGTGTCTGACGCGCCCATGACCTCCACCCCGTGCGTGATTGAGGGTAGCTTAGCATGGCCTGCCTCGCAATTTTCTCAGCTGGCCCCCCAGCTCGTCGCATCCTCGCGATGCGGCCCCGCCTTGCCGCGAACTGAACCGCTCGCTTGGAAAAGGCGGAGACCCTCCTTCGCCGGCCAGCCGCCGCGGCGACGCCCAGGTGGTTCTCGGAGGTCGCCCTGCGCAAGTCCAGCGGCTCGATGCGCACGGCGATGGCGTGGCCTTGAGCATCCAATGCACAAATATATTACAAACACCAATATATTAGGATTATCTTAAAATCTCATCCGTTAAGATTTTCTGTCAAAGTTCGCACCCAAGAAAATGCCCCCATAGATAAGGGGCGTTGCCTTCTTTTGGCATTTTTTCATACTCAGCGCAAGAGACGAACAACAGGCTGCCCAATAAACTTCGCCATGCATGCCCTTGAAAACTCAGACGTGTTCGGGGCGCCCCCTCTGCGCTTCCCAAACGCCGCAACGGACCCTCCAAAGTCTTCATCTCGGTAGTTCCAGTGCTTGGACGGTTGCCCTCCAGAAGAACATACTTCCAACAATAAATGCAGCTTGGGTTTAATGCGAAATATGTTATCATCCGCCGTCGCCAAAGCAGTGAAGTGTTGAGCAAAACGCACATAATGCTCCAGCATCGTGTCTTTCGTAAATGGGAAAGACCCTGCAAGCGCAGCGTAGCAGCGTGATAAACTCTGCATGCAAAAATACATAGAAGACTCCACGGGGTCATTCCTGTCGCAGAACTGTTCCGCAAGTTCCATACCCCACGGTATTAGATGCCGAACCATGCCAGCGCTACATCTGAGCTTGGGATAGCTGTTTGATTTGCCTTGCACAACCCCAATGCTCAAGTGAGGAAGCCTGTTCGGCGCGCCGTTCGGAGGTTGTCTATCGCAAAGGTGCATCAAAAGGTGCATCTCCCGCATGCGCTGTTTCTGCGTGCCGCCTGGGGCTTTCCTCTTGACGACGCAATGCCAGATCAGAGAGCCCAAAAAAAACTGCAGTTGCACCTAAATCCGCGCAGCGCAGCGAATCCAACATCAAAAGTCGCATGCTGACAAACGGAACCGCCAACAAAGGGCATACGCGATGTCCAGAACCCAGGATTTTCATCAAAAGTTCTTGCCATGATCTGCGGCCCGTGCGCCAGGGCGCGTCGTGGCCGATCTCGGTAGAGACCGCGCGGGCATCGAAAACTTCGTTTTACCATCCTCCCTCTCCTGTTCTGTCTCTGCCTCCTCCGCCTGCTCCTCGGCTTGCCCGCCCTCCTCGACGCCCCCGTCACGTGGCGCGTCGCCCTCCCCTCCCCCCCCAGCGCGTCGCTCCTCCCCCTCGCATCTGATTTCCCGTTGCGTGCCTCCTCGTCGTCGTCCTCCTCCTCCTCCTCCTCCTCCTCTTCCTCCTCCTCCTCCTCCTTGCCCTCCTCTTCCTCCTCCTCCGCCCCCCCCCCCCCCTCCTCCTCCATCTCCTCCTCCATCTCCTCCTCCATCTCCTCCTCCTCCTCCTCTTCCTCCTCCTCCTCCTCCTCCTCCTCCCCCTCCCCCTCCTCCTCCTCCCCCTCCTCCTCCTCCGATCCGTCTCGTGTTATTGATTTGCTTATGCGCGTTGCCATCCCTTTCCTCCATTCCCCTCTCCCCCCCCCCTTGCCGCCTCCAGCTAATGGTCCGCGCTCCACCTCTCAACTCGCCCTGCTGGCCCCGCGCGCAGCGTTGATGGCCCTCCCCCGCTTCTTGGGCGAGCGCCCCCTAGCGATAGGGGATGGCCTTTGCGGCGCCAGTGCGCACGCGTCGGGGGCGCGCAACTTTCGCGCCAGAATCCCCCTCCTCAGGCAGCGCAGGGGGGGTGGGGCGTTGGGGCGGGGGGCGGTGGAGGCAGAACTGGGTTGGCTATGCGTTTTTCCCTGTGACCTCGGGCAGCTTGATCTTGCGCTGGAAGCAGCACTCCGCGCCCTGCCACCCCGGCAACTTCAGCGCCTCCTTTAACATCTTCCAGTCGCCGTTGATCTGGCAAACAACGCCCCTGAGAGGGAGTCGCCCTCTCTCGCTATGCTGTTTGGTCCTCCACTTGTCGCTCTTCCCGAATGGCGATCCATCGCGTCTGCACGATGGCCACGTTTTGGTTGCGAGGTGCGCGAATGACCAGCGGACAATTTCAAAAATGTCACCCAGGGTGTTTGGGGACAACTGGTTCTTCAGCAAGCATGCGATGGGCACGCGGAGGTTATTGCAGCGCTCCTCTAAGCCAGGCAACAGGGGCGAAACAATTTCAGCGGTCGCGCTGCGGCCCCAGTTGCAAGGCACACCGTCCTGCCAGATGCCGCGTGGGACCGTGTCGGAGTCGCCGAGGGGCGACGCTGCACTGCTGAACTGCTCCAGCGAAACGGAATCTAACCCAGACGTGCCAGTCATAACATCTGCGTGGCCGAAGAACGCCAAACGATCCAAAATCTCGTGGGGCAGCATTAAATGCATTTTCTGAAGCACCTCCACCTGCCTGTTAGTGTTCCACACCCGCACGCCGCACACGCACAAGGGTGGAAAATTTGGCGAAAGAAACGTGGAGCACTGCCCGGGTATTTTTCTGATGGTACTAAATCAGCAACGCCTGTGGCACCAGAGCGGTGGACGTCGCTTGCCAATTGGAGCCCCCCGGCGCCCGACACGGCGTTGCGCGACACGAGGTCAGCGACATTCGCCCTCAGGCGTTTGTCTGCTGGCAGCGCGCGCCTGTCATAAGGCGGCGCGCGTTTGGACAGCATGCGGCGGCGACCTCTCTCGAGCCGAAAGCTACGGACGTCCCTTGAGCCAAAAGCTACGGACGTATCTTGCGCGCTGGCGCGCCCTGCAACAGGGCCACCCCTGCAGGAGAGGGGCGACGAGAAGATGCGAAGGTCCCCCTCGAGAGGGGGTCGCGATGGACACCGCGAGAGGGCGAGGCGGCGAAAGGGGGGTGGAACAGCAGAGGGAGAAAAGGAGAGAACGAGAGAGAGAGATAGAGAGAGAGAGATAGAGAGAGAGAGAGAGAGAGAGAGAGAGAGAGATGGAGAGAGAACAGACGAACGTGAGTGAGAGCGAGAAGCAACGAACGGACAGACAGACAGACAGACAGGAGACAGACAGACAGACAGACAGAGATAGGCAGAGACAGACAGGGGCAGACAGACAGAGAGCCCCTATCAAGGTGCGCGCGCATTTTTGCTTGTTGGAGCGTCGCCTTGCGCCTCCATCTCTAGCGTCTGCGCGCCGAGGGGGTGATATGGATGTAACTCAGAGAGCTGCGAATATGATATGGAAACGCCACTCACCCCACGTAGCGCGAGAACCTCTTGACCGCCAATTTGACGCCGTCCAGGTGGTGCTCTGCGGTGGACTTCATGGGTGCGAGATCCTTGCTCAGATTGGCATAATCCTCTTTCTTCTCGTTCGTCTCGTGAGTGATTCCTCAGAAGCTCCACCGCCTCCTCGTGATCCGTCGCGCTCTTGAGGGTATTGTCAGCCTCCTTTGCCCAGGTGTCCCATTGGCCTTTGTCGCTGTCCTTGGCAGTCTTGGCGCGATTGTGGAGCTTCGCGCGGAGCGTCTTCAGCTTCTTCATCTCAGCAGGGTACTTCGACAGGGTAGACCTAAGCGCAAGAAGAGGGAGGGGGGGAGCGTTTGTGAAGGGAGTGAGCAGGAAGACGAGGGAGAGGAGAGATTGCTGAGGCGATGGCGTGATCGAGTCCTTGTTCGCCTGGATGTTCGGCCACAGCGCGTTCTCCAGCTTCGCTGGGTTCGCGGTCGCGCTGCTGCTGCCACTGCGCAGCTCCCCCATCCTGCCTGCTGCCCATTCCAGCGCTGTTGCCGACTTGACGCTGCCTTCGCCCGTAAACTTTGTCTTGTCCGACGTCTCCTAGCTGTCCTCAGACATCTGTGGGGAAATGAAATAGAACTCGTGCCACAATATGCGGTCCTTGTTGCCGTACTTCACTGGTAACGCCCCCTTCGTATTGTACGTCTGTGAATTATCCTCCCACCACTCCTGGACGAACTCGAGGGCCAGCTTGTGATCCTTAAAATCTGACAATGAAAGGTTCTGTTCTTTCAAGGCTTGCGGAACTGTGACGTGCCCCTTCTTGGCCCATTTCTTGCTCTGATCCTTCTGGAAGCTCTCCAAGAACATCTTGCGCTCTGAAGGGTTCTTGCAACTCGACCAGACTGCCTGCGCCTCCGCTGCCTTCTTCTGCAAATCTGCATCAGTGCTCGAGGAATTGTACTTGAGCCAGTTGCGCATCTTTGTGGCCTCCTTCGGGTCGATCCCCTCCCCCTTAGAAGCCTTGCATCTCTTCGGGGCGGGGCCAGAGTCGTCGCCTTTCTTCGCCCCACACACACCATCGACGAAAAAAAGAATCATCATCGGCGCGGCATACGCGAAGCAAGAAGCCGCGACGGGAGGAGGCATGCTGTCGAACCGTGCAAGGATCAGACACTCGCAAATGTAAAGATGACAATCAGCGCGCCAAAAACAAGCGGGCCTTGAGCCGAAAAGCACTTGCGGGATGCATGCTGCCCCCTCCCCCCTTTGGCCCAACCCGCCTCCTTCCTCGTCGGTCCTTCCTTGCCGTAGCGTCCTGCTCTACAGAAATCCCCCGTGCTCATCCTGCCCCCCAGAAAGCCCCTGCAGTAGGGGCACGAACCAAGAGGACAATGAGATCTAGGCTAGATACCCCGATCAAGGGGTGATCGCGGACTGCGAGCGAATGGTAAGCATTTGCACTACCGCTATTAAGCGGATCAGAGTGTAGGGTCAGAAGCCCCGTGGTCAAACCACCAGTCTTTGTTCGGAAGTGTTGATTTCATCAGGCAACGCAAAGTGAGCCCATCTGCCGCTAGAAAGCGGGCAATCTCTTTTCTGAAATTCTATTAAATAGAATTTCTATGTAATAGAATGTGGGTTCTGCTTGATACTTCCTTCAATTCTATTAAATAGAATTTCTATTTACTAGAATCGGGTGTGTTTTCTGTGACCCAGCTG